TGCTGTAAAAAGAAATTGGGAATTGAAATTAAATTCAGCCTTTCCCATTTGTCACTTTATTCTTTACCTCTTAAAAATCAAATATTGATTTTCCTCATTCTGCTGAGTTAACAGTCTTTGCTAGCGTGTAATGGTTATAAACACGTTCACTAGAGCTGTCAAAGAAAATTCCAGCAAAACAGTTTTTTATTGAAATTTTCCAGCTTGTTGAAAGGAAGACATCCGAGAGGAAAAGGTCCTTTCTTTTGTTGGGTGACAAGGAAGCAGAGCCCAGCACCTTGCTGTGAGCAGCCTGGCCTGGGGACCTCTCTCATTACTGCCTGTGTGACATTCCAGCACTGTTTCAGAGAGCAAAGGAAATGGTGCATCTTGTTCCACACTGAAACCAAACTTGGAAACCTTGGCAATTCCACAAAATGGAATTTTGTGGATGCCAAGCCTTAGCATCATGTTACGTGTAATCATGTATGAAACTGTACGAAATTGTGTATTTTAGGGAAACAACAGACATCTTCTTGTAATTAGCAAATTATAGTCTTATGGTTCTTATTTTGCTTATCAAGTTATTTTCCAGTGTCAAGACCTATTTTGTTTCAACCTTCCCTCTCATTGCTGATTTAAGAGTTGTTCTTGGCACTAGAAAATCCTAAGAGTTCTGTCACGGGCTACACTCAGAAGCAGCAGCTGGAGCCAAAACTGTTCGCTGTTTATGTAAAACTAGAAGTTACTTCCTTAACATCAGCACGAGGCTCTGTTCCTGGGCTTGTACGTGTGCATATCTACGCAGACACCACACACTGACCACAGTTTGTTACTCTAGGAAATTAAGGTTCCCTTTGCTTCTGCAAATAAAGGAATCAACAGCACATTGCCCTGAAGAAGCGGCTCTTGCCTCAGTCTGGAAGCTTGCTAGGGCAGCTGGTGATCCATCAGCGGAACTGCATGAACTCAGGAAGCACGGATGCTCAGTCAGACTTAAGCAGCCTTCCAAGCTATATGGTTTGGTGACTGATTTGTAAGTGAAGGCAGCTCCTGCCACCACAGATTGTTGTCGATGGGTATGACGCATACATGAACTAGATAAGACAGCAGAAAGGCAGGGGTTTAGTTAGGCAACTTGTCCAACGAGAAATTTACTGCAAGGCTTATTTTTTAATTGACATGATGAATTTTATGCATCTACCTGCTTGAAATACTCTGATTATGAAACTCTTTGTTTACTGCTTGGCTCTTGATTTCTAAGAGGGCAAAGTGTGTGCTAATAAGAGGGAAAGAAAGAGAAGATGAGAGAACACACAATGACCTGTTGTCTCTGTAGGACTGTTTTGCATTAAACACTTTGGTTTGACTACAGCTTTCGACCACTTTTGGTTCGTTCAGTAATCCCAAACTGTAAGTATAAAGAGTGATTGACAGAAACATCCTCCCAGTGGCTCGTACTCAGGTGTAAATATCTGATGCTCTCGATCTTGAGAGATGAACTCCTGATATGTCAGAGTAACAATTGATTTTCTTTCAGCGCTGAGATTAAATTTTTTATGTAATTATTAAATTATGAAAAAGAGACTGTAAAAGAAACCAGTTTTCACCCAGTAGCATATTAAGAGGTTAATATAAAAATAAATGTAATCCTCTGAAGCTCACTTATGCCTGTAACAATACAAGTGACATTATTAGAATATTTGTTATCAGTCTGTAAGACTGAGAGATTAATAAATGTGGGAGCAATTTTTTGAATAATTGCACAAAATAGGCTAGGTATTTTAAAATATATTTGGTATTTTTATATAATGGATATTTTTTAAAAATATTGATTACTTTCCCCATTTTCTCAATTTGTAACACAAAAATATCACTGGTGTAAATAAATATCATGATAGTATTACTAAAGGTCATGGACTTTAACAAAGGACATTGTGCAGTTACTTAGAAACTGAATAATGTATTCAGCCCTTAGGCTGGTCTGTAACTTAGGTCATGCTAAAAAGAACCTTGCTAACAATCCTGGCACCTGTATCTGTTCTGTGTTGTGAAAATTCTGCTGTAGCTTTCCAGCCTACTCAGAGGAAAGATACAGAAGATTTATCATTAATGTTAGAGTTAACATCTTCAAAGATAGAGACTTCTTCATTATAGAGACTTCTCTGATAATTTAAATTCTTATAAGTTTGGGACCAGATCATGCTGGTATCACAGCATCCTACACAGTGGGGTCTCTCAGGCTGTGAGCAAAGAAAGTGTCTTAAACAAGTGTGCTGTTGGATTAAACTCATTTGAGGAAACTGCAGATGGTGGCAAGTTTGTTCTTGGCTGTCATCTTTGTGCCTAAAACCAGGTCTTTAGGGGATTGGAAGAGCTGGGCACTGGGTTTGAGCTCCTGGAAGGGATTTTAGCCTAGTACCCTTCAGATGATGTTCCTTCTACCTAACTCCAGTTCAAAATTTACATGTGCCATCTAAATTAATCATCAAGACTCCCTCCCTAATCTGTAGAGAAAGCAAGCACTTCTAGATAGTAATTCTCCATCTTGTTTGATTACTTGGTTACCTCTGGAAGTGCTCTCTGCTGAGCAGCAGAAGCAGCCTAGACAAGTACCTTAGTTGTGTCCACTGTTTAGGTGACCCCAGTTAGAAGAGGTGAATCCTAATCCATGTTTCTAATAAATAATAATCCCCAGGAAGGATAGCTAGTTTACCAAAACAAACAACAACAACAAAAAGAAGCTAGAAAGACAGAAAAAATGCTATGCCTGCCATGTCAAGTCATGTAGGCAGATTGTTTTTCTAGAACATTCTCCCAAGCCACCTGGTGAATAAGCAGCTGAGAGCTGCCTGAAGTGTGTGCCAGAGATCATGCTTTCCAGAGACTCTCCTTTCCAGGGGTTCTACTTCTGCAGTCCCTATTCAAACCTTTCCACTGAAACCAAGAGAAACCATGGCAAAGGTCTACAAAATAAACCCCCCTATAAGATGTCAGTGGAGGCAGAGTCCTGCTGTACATTTCTGTAAGACTGTAAGGTGATGGCTAAATGAGAATATTGCCACTGGAGGCTTTCTGACTGGGTTCTTTGCAGACCAGCAGTGCTGCAGCATGAAGAAAATGAGACATTAACAAATCATCATACAATGAAGAAAATAAAAATACATTTCACTGTGCACTGATATACTTTATTCAGGGCTGACGTGCAGTTTGCATAGCTTAAAAACATGAGCTTGAAAACATGTGACCAATGTTTGCAAAACATTCCTTTTTTTACTCTCTTCCAATACATTTGCAATTTGAATCAAACTGATGGAGATAAAATGAGATACAAAGTCAGAAACTGAAAGCTCTCTCTCAAGTGCCACCTTCCAGCTGTTATGGAAACCTAGGGTGTTACTGTTCTTGTCTCAGGTGCCTGAGCATAGCTCCATTCCTTCGTGAGGAAATCTGTAATGGAAGCTATTGCATTTTAATCAGCAGACAGTATTACAGCTCAATCAGCATCTCTAGGGGAGAACCTGGAGGCACTTACACGTGAACTGAGAGATACCCTGAACATTTCTGTGCTGCAGGATTTATCATGAAGTTTGCTCTAACCTTCCTTCACCCTGTTTAAACTTCAGGTTAACACAGAGAGAGAAAAGCTGCCATTCCTTTTCCCTGCGTCAGTGGTGGCACCCACCTCACCTACTGGGACAAACCCCAACCATCGGCCAGCACCGACTGCATCGACTGGGTCTCGCTTTGGAGGTACGGTCAATAATACTTCAAGTTTTTATTTTCTTCCATTTGTCATTAGCTGGGACAGGAATACACCAGGCTGTTTAGTTAAAGCGCTATCAACTGAAAGGTGACCTGTTCTTGAATCTGACCTTTTAGCTCAGCTTCATGGGTGGGTTTGGCTCAAAGCATTCATTATGCCTGGGTTGCCAAATTCAAGGAAACAGGTGGAGTTAGACTATAAGATGTTTATTCGTGTTTTGCTGGAATTCTTTGCTCTTGCCCAAGGCTCTGTTTTGGAGGCCTTCAAAGTTTAAACTGATTCATTCGTGCATGAAACATTCTGTTCTTACGTTTCTCTCCTGTCAGTGGGAATTAGCAGAACCTGGAATGTTGACCCTGTCTAAATGCAGAGCTGAAAGTAATACTGTGTTTTGTGATGCTGAAAGCATCACTGTCTGTTAGTATTGCACAAAAGATAGGCATAAATGAGGAAAACATACCAGCACCCTCATCAGAGACCCTTTGTTAAGCCCACTCCCATGAGGAGAAGGTTTCAGCTGATGGATCCAACCACAGGGGCAGGGTGTGAATGACCACAATGAAGAAACAGTATTGGTACAACCAACCAATGCATTTAAAAGACATAGAGGAAGGAAACTAGGAAAAACAGGGATAAATGCTTTCCCTTTGGGTTTTCTTTTGTGTGTAATAATAAGCTGTGTTTACATTAGAGGGAAGTGTGCTCCATGGTATGGTACATAATCTATGTCCCCTGGATGTCTCTGTATGGAGGCCTCCTAGACCACCTTGTAGCTCCCTTCTGGCCTGTGCTCTGGAGTTTAGTTCCCTTGGAAACCAAACACACATTTACTCTGATACTAAACAAAACAAGTGTTTTAACAATTATGTTCTAAATGGTACTGAACCATATATTTTCATTTTATTGTTGGAAGAGGTATTAGGTAATGTATTTTTCTGTTGTACGTATATCTATAGCAAACCTTGTTTTCTAGATTTTTATCATTATGTTAAAAAGCAGTATAAGACGAAGGTGTCCATGTCTCTGAAATTTAATTCCAAACATCTCCTTACTAAACCAAAAATCTTTTCATTCTTCTTTGCGATAAATCCCACTTCTGTTCAATTACCATATTTATATACACATTTTTTAACATTAACCTAAATGCTGAAGGAATGATATTCCCAGTGTAGTGTCCAAAATAAAATAAATAATACATAATTTAAAATCTGGTATACTTATAATTTTAAATAAAGGAATGACATGTCAATAAAACAGCATTTTACTCAGCTTTTATGCAATTTTAAAAATTCTCTTTTCTCACCCTAAATTTGGGCAATGGTCAGGGGTCACTTGTTCTGGAAGAGGTTGCCACCATCTTCTCAGCTGAGAGTCAAAGCATTTTCAGCAATATCTCAGGAAATTTTAAATGACACAGCAGAAATAGTGTTAGATTCTGGTGCTGTCAAAGAAAGCAGGAGTAATAACTGGGATGATTGAAATGATGCCTGAACATAATGTGGAATTTGTAGCACTTGAAGTAGACAGGGAACTAGATGCTGGGAAATATGTTGGACAATACTCCAAACATGATGTTTGTGTCTTCTGTTGTAACCAATTTGATATGCTCAATACCAGTTTATTATGATTTACCAAGAGCAGGTGACTGGAAGGCTCTGAGCAGAATATTCTCTTATTCCTTCCTTTCTCTAAACAACGTGCTGTACATTAAAAAAAACAACAAACAAACTACAATTTTCCCTCTTGAAAAAAATCTCGAAACCTAACTAAGTTTCATTAATGATGCCCACCCCCTTTAATAAATACATGGGATCATGACTGATTTATACTGTAAATTGGGTGTGCTGCTGATGTGGGAAGACTCCCAAATCTTTGTTCTTCTGTCTTAGCTGGCTCTTGAAAAGTGTCATTGTTACTGATTCTAGCTCCAAAATTGAAAGTACCCTAACAAAAGACTAAAGTAGAAGTTTGCTTGGCTATTGCATACTGTATGAGACCATTCTTGTTACCTAACCTCAACTCTCATTCACTCCTTCAAAAGACAGCAGGTCAGCAGCAGTGCAGGCTCTGCAGAAGATGTTGCTCTGGGAAATTTGGTCTTTTGAGGATCAGCCTGGAGAGCCATGACAGCAAGAATCTACAATACCTTCTTGGCTAAAACTCACAGTGTGAAATACTTAACTCAGGCTGCAAGCAAATAGAAGCAAGCACCAATATTTTCTTCCTGTTAAAACCTGCTGTTTCCCTTCACTTGCTGTTTTCAGCCAGCACTTTTGTTACTGTAATAATTACAATAAGCTCAGCCCATGGCTTTCCAAGAGCAAATGGATGCCACCAATTCTTTCTATTTGCAAATAAGCAGAGCTAAGCTGTTACCCTTCTTTCTACCACAAAAGTTTCCTGAAGAGTTGTTCTTAAATGTCATTAAAACAAAACAAAAAGTTGTTAATATTTCAGTCTCATTCTCCCGTCCAAATTAGATTGTGGACTAAGGATTTAAGGAAGGGTGTGCCAAACTCTGAGGACTGTTAGTATTCCAAGTCGATTAGTGCCTAATTAAGTGCTAATTTATTCTCTGTGTAATCTCATAGAGGGTAGAAATTTGGCTCAGGCTAGTTGGAAAACAAAGTTTTTGCTATTACATGTGGAAACATTTACTACTTTTATACATGTAAAACTTACTTTTTTTTATATGAGTCGAGTGCATTGTTAAAGAAGGCTAAACTCTTATCCTGGCTTGCCTGGCTTCCTCTTACAGTTTCAAAAGTCTCACAAACATTCATTTTCCTGTATTCAGAAGTCACAGAATATGCTGAAGACAAGCAGTCTGGAAGCCAATTTTCCACATTTCCTTCAAAGGGCAAACTTAACTGTCTTCTGCAATAGTAGAATTGAGAATCTGTTGGTGCTCACAGTCTCTTTATTCTCTGCTTCGCAGAATAAATAGAAATTTTAGCTAGAGTTGAGTAAATCGGGAGCCAGGCTTTTGGATGAGAGACCTTCCTAACTTCCCCGCATGCTACAACAAACACCAACATCTTTCTTGTCCATGCAGGAAATGCATCTTAAATCCCAAGCAGAAGTAATGTTAAATTTTGGGAGACTTGACCTCCACAGAGACCTGTCAGTCATCTCTGATGTAGCCCATGGGAACGTTCAAATTGCCATGCCTGATTTGCGTTCTTGTTACATGCAGACAAAAACAAGTCCTTCTCATCTTCACTCTTTGCTGCCTCTATGCATTTGCCAGAAAGGACGTGGACAATCATTCCATTCTACAAGGTGAGAGAAGAAGGGAAAGAAAGAACAAAATAAAAATAAGGGATTTCCAGTAAAAGCTAGAAAATTTTTATGTACAGTAGATCACCAGTATGGACTTGCTGTTCAAGTTTTTTTTAAGTATTACTCCAAACACAATGAGTAGGTTTAACTTAGTGCTCAGAGCACAGTAAATATTCATAGTTCCTTCTGAAGCTGACAGGAGTGGTAGGTGCAGAATTCTTTTCCACCACTGTTTGTTTCCTGTGGCTACAGGTTGTCATCAGCATCAGCTTCAGTACTACTGACCACAAAATTTCAGAAGGACCCTTAGGAATCAAACCAAATTACAGTAGGAACTGTCCCAGAGGCTTGCTGCATCCCTACGACTACAGTAACTGCTGTTTTTTGGCTGTCCCAGAGCATGAGGTTTTTCAGTCTTGTAGAGGAGTTCCTGCTGAGTGAAGTCCACTAAATAACACTGAATTCCTCTGATATTGCTCTTCTCTTACAATACATGAGGAAACTTAATGTTTCCCACTAAGAGCTCCTCACAGAGGGCTCTCATATGGGAGAGTTCAGGATTCCCAAAACCTTTCTCTATCCAAAAGAAGTCAGCAAAGATTTGCCCTGCTCTTATTTTCGCAACCACTGATCCTGATTCTATTTCTATAAGACAAACAGTGAAAACAAGAACACAGGAATAAAGTTAGGATTTTTCTACTTTATATTCCTAAACCAAATGTATTTCATATAGTGTAAATGGGCAAGAGACATCCTAAGTTTTCTGGCTGCAAATGGCACAGAAGTGAAACTTGCCCTTCAAATACCTCATCCCTTCCCCACACAAATGCTGTAAATCACCCAGTGATCCCACAGTCGCCATCAGCTGCCTTTCCCTCACAGCAGAGTCACTACTGACCTCCTGGACATCCCAGTGCTGGTGGCTGTTGTCTGTCTCCTTTGTACAGTTTTGAGGGATAACCTTCCCATGTCTGGCATCAAAGCAAAAGAGCGGAGCAGAACCAAGCCGGATTTCCTTCATGCTGGTATATTCAAAGTGCTGGAAGAGGGAGCATTTGTTTGAACAATGATGGACAGACATCCCAATTAATTTCTAAAAGCTAATTCCAAAAACAATTTCCTGTATGTGTTTGTTGAGGTACAGCCCAAACATGAGTGACAAAGACCCAACAACCTTGACCGTTCAAAGCAATCCCCCGTGCTAGCTAATTCTGGCATAACTATTTACCTAAGAAGAGGCTTTGTGAACTACAATTATGTATAAAATAAACCCATCCTGTAATAAAATTTTCTAGTTTAATAAATATTTGAACAGAAGGGTGTTTCTGGCAGTGTCCTCACACAGTGCACTTAGAAATGCACCTGCAGCTCACCCCGAGCTCAGTGTGAGCAGGAAAACTTGCTTGGGACTTGGAATAAATACCTGCAGTCAGTCTGTATTGGTTTGGCTTCTTTTAAAGCATGAACTTGCTAGACTAATTTCTGCTTGTGAGTCTACATGAATTTCCCTCTTGCTTTAGATTGCAGTTTAGACGCTAAACTTCAGTTTTAGTCACTAATGGGGGAAACCCATTCCCATTATTCTGGAACTGTTATGTATTTTTTACTCACAGGCTTTCTGTTCCCCAGACACTATCAAATATGCCAAAAAAATAGTCACTTACTGATGTCTCCTGGAGCAAAGTATGTGTATCAGTGACACATGAAACACTTCAGCTTTTCAAATTACTCAGCTGCAGAAGCGTGGGCACCATTACCTTAACACTGCCTAATTCTGAACACATCAGTTATTTCCACTAGTGTCAACCCAGCTACTTACACGTTGGAGCGACTGTCTTCTGCATGGTTCCCTAGATCTGACACAATGCCTGTATACTCAAAGTATAAATTACCTGGGTGAGACTGTCACTGCAAGGTGAGAGTTTGATGGAGCTTTCTGCAGTGGCTCTTCCAGGTCTGTAATCTGCACAGAAGCCAACACCAGTATTGTAAAGCTGTAAGTAAAGATTTATACCAAGAAAACTCACAATTGGATACAACCAAAATATCCTTCAGCTAACATTTTTATGACTGTATCCCTTTATGATACATGTTTTTGTTCATAATTCAGGCACTACTTTTTTCCAGTCTAGGTCTTACATAGTGATCTTGCAAACTGATCGGATATAAAAGACAGAATTTCACCAAAGGTCAGTGCTACCCAGTGAGTTTTGTTTAAATTGGAGACACCCACTTCTGGTTTTAACTATTGTGATAATTAAAAGAAATCTTTCAACCTTTTCATGCTAATGGAAAATTGCTCTTCAACTAGACACTGTAGTCAGAAAAAACCCAAGATATTCCAGAAGAAAAGAAACATGTGACAATTCCTGTCATCTACACTCAGTTCTTACACTCTTCTCAAGCAAACTTGGAAAATAAAGAGCAGACAAAATAGTAAAAGGACACAGTAAATCTGGCTCCAAATAGCAGAGTATGAATTAATTAGAAAAACTGGTTGCCTTTATTTGGGGGGAAACTCCCTTCTGTTAAGGCTGCTGGGAATAAATTAATATTTAATGAATTATAATTATCAACTATGGGTTACTTAAAAACAACAACAACAACATTGAGAATATTGCCTCCTGTACACAGTCAGACAAGGAACTGCTATTGCTACTACTTCTGTCCTTGGGAGGAGTGCAGAGCTGAAGAAATGCTTTTTTCTCTTTGTGCACATGGATCAGCACAGAGATATCTCAGCTGCTGTTCCTGTTGCCATCTGCATGAAGCAATACAATTTTTTTCCTTTACTAATGGCACCTTAAAAACCTTCGGTTAGGATCCTCTGAGCTGTGACACTGAACTGAGTCAGACAATCTGGGTTCAGTTCCTGGCTGGGTTTCAACATCTATGTGAGAATTTGAGCCAGTCCTTTATCTCTGTCCTTTTCTTTCTCCTCCCACTCTTGTTGCACTGTCTGTTTGGACAATAAAGGTTTCAAAGCAGGAATAGCCTATTGCTCACTCTATGCTCCCTGAGTACACAGAAGTGACACTGGAGTCTTTGAATAATTCAAACCACTGATCATTCTTTATAGGATGTTTTCTCTTACCTTGCCAGAGAATCTTGGTGTGTCTCCAGGTGGGGAAAGTTCAGGGTACACATTTGATACAAACCACTGGAAATTCCTACAGCCGAGTCTCTTCTGTAGCTGGAGGCGCTCGGTGCAGTCTGGCTTCTCGGCCTTTATGGAGGAAGGGAGAAAGCATAAGGGCAACAAGGTTACAGTGTGTTTGTGTTAGAGAGGCTAGGAGTGAAAATAGGAACTTTTTCTACCACCTTTTCTATCCTACATGTTACAGATATTGATATATGGCTCTTATCAATATCTCTTGCAAAGGAGGAGGTCCAGCTAAAGCCTTTCTCAAACTTTGAGCTAAAACATCCACAGTCTGGCATTGTGACAGAAGTAAATATTTTGGAAGTAGCATGCATTGTGAAAACAAGTATTTCCTCTAAAAATGATCATTATACTGCAAGATAAGTCAGTCTTTGTCATATTTTTATTTTAAAAAGTCAAGACCAAGTTTGATAGTTGTTGCACTGAAATTCAGTGGTATTGTATTGGATTATCATTCAGTATAGAATTTGTCCCTCTGAGTAAAACTCAATTTCCTGGCCTTTAACAGCCCAGATTACACAGTTATTGTCAGTCCTCCATGATCAGAGGGCAAGTGATGACAGAATTTAGCCCAAAATATATTATCTGACAGTTACTAAATCTAGTAAACAAATTTCTTTTGCAGCTATAAATGGATAAAACCTTTCCTATGATTTCTGTGTTTTCTTGAATTATAAACACACACAATATAGACTCTTCCTCTGTTCTGAAGAAAGACAAATGCCTGCAACCCTTGGTGCAGTTATGGGCACCTGCACTGCAAAGAACCGACAGCCTGAACATTTGAGGGTATTTAGCACTGAAGATGGCTAACAGGGTTCTGAAAACTCCAAGCAGTTAAGTGTCTAATCCTTCAGCTTCAAACCCACACAAAACAGTTTTCTAAATCTCTTCGTGCCCAAATATTGAAAATATCTCACAAGCCTTAAGATTCTTTCTCCTGTTTCTTTCCAGCAATAGATCTCCCCCCTTCATGCTTCTACTTTTTAAAAATGCTGTTTGGATGGGATTCCAGGAGACTGGTCTGGATTTCTACATCAAAAATTAAAACTGGTAACATAAGCAAAGAATTGCCTGTAAATAACTTTTTCATCAGACCAGCCATATCTCTGTATCCATAAAAAGGACTTTGCAACACGGAAAGCACTGACAAATTAAGGGCCTTGGAGATCAAGGGCAAAGTATCGGCTTCTAAAGGCAGGGATCAGTCATGCTATGTGGCACTGTTTGCCAGCCCCTGTAAACTGCCCAGGCAATGCTCAACAGTTGCAATATGTTAAAGAGAACCTCATAGTTTAGTGTCAGTCTCAGATTCAATAAACATAAGAACAAAGTTCAGCAATTCGGCACCACACAAACCCTGTCTCCTAAGAGGTTTTCCTGGAAAAGGAAAGGAGAAAAGTAAAATGCTTCCCTTAAAAAGAGATGTTTCTCATAAGACTGCTTTGGCTGAAGAAGATAATGGCAGTAGATCAATCTCATTTTGTCACACTAGTTACAGTCTGCATTTGATGCTGAAAAAATGGTGTAAATAACTTAAAGAAAATCATTATCCCTGTAAACCAATCTGAAAGGAAACTGTGCTTGTAAATTAAATAAGCAAACCACACAAGAAAAGGAGCAAAGGAGATCGTGGCTGAAATAGTAGAGAGATGGGAAGAGCATTATTCATCTGTTTAATGCTCACACCATGGGCATCCTGTGCAAGATGTGATACAGACCATAAAGCGAGGAGGCTTATAAAGGAACCTAATGGGGGTCACTGGTTGTTTTCTGCAGTGGGCAATATTGGTGGTTAAGGCTCACAGAGAATTCTGTAGTGGCCCATAGGTTGCTCTGCTCACTCTCTCAGTGCAGTAAATCCCCACAGGGCCCTTTGCAGCTGAGCAGCAATAATGTCCTTGCTTGTGCCTTTTGAATTACATCCTGCTGCATTGGCATGCTGAAAATATTGGCTATGAAAGAAACAAAAAGAGAAAAAGAGCTGTTTACATTATGGTATGTTGGGCACAGAGGTAATATGAGGGAGCATCCTACTTAGAAGTACTGAAAGTATTTTGGCAAGAATAAACTCAAGCAAAAGGTCATGCTGCTTACAGCTAGTAAACTGTATCATTGGTGACTGTAGTTTTTAGTACAGAGAATTTCTTCTGAGCTGAGAAGAAAAGCCTTCAGGAAATTATTAAATGATTTAAGGATCTAACTGCCCATTTTAAAAGACTTGGCCTAGTGTCCCCCTTTTGGGTACATGGCTGTAACCCTTGGGAGTCAACTGACGAACTCGTGGCCAGTGGAGTTCAGACCTGCAACACAGAGAAGGAGAGAGAAGCTTTGAAAAAGATGTGAAAATAGAGTAAAAAAGGAAATGTAGTAGTCACAGACTATAGGATTAGCAGACGGACTGGAGGGGCAGATCCACCCGCAGAGTGCAAGGAGGTCAGACAAGGTGACAAGAGAGAAGCATGGCACACAGCCCTGTTCCTCTCCCCGCTATAATGCTGCTCCTGCTGGATCTGGTTTTCTGAGGTGATGGCCAGCCCTGCAGTGACTGAACATGCAGGACTGTCTGTGTATTAGACAAACCAACCACAAGTGAAGCATTGCCGGACCTGGTGGTGCTCACCAGTGTGGATGAGCTCATTAGAGCTGCTGGGATTGGTGGCAGCCCGGGCTGTAGCGATCATGGCTCAATAAGCACAAGGCTGAACTTAGGCACAAGTTTCTTTCTTCTCTTCCTGATCCGACAGCTCTTCCACTGGAAGGTTTAATAAAAATTCCATCCCCAGCACCATGCTCGTGGAATGTTTGACTGCAAACAGACATCCCCACCCCTATTCCACCCTCTTCACCCACCTCAACTCACATACCTTCCCTCAGAAACAAACCACTACAGATGTCTTTACCTTGCTGATTAAGAAAGCCACTGTGTCATGCTTGTAGAAGTTCTCTTTAAACGGGCCCAGCCAGGTCTCTGCTATCCGGATTTTGTTCCTCACGATGGCCTCTTCATAGGCGAAAGCATGGGGAATGTGATGTCGATAGACGTGCCCGACTCGGGAGCATGGAATAATTTCTACAGAGCCACCACAGAGCCAAGTCTGGAACATGGGTGAAAGCACAAAAGGAGATTACCTTATTTAGATTACCTTTCTCTGAAAAGGAGAAGCTCCTTTACTCTAGACTGCCTCAGGAGATCCTAAGCTACACATTGCTGGAAGCAGCAAGAGCCTTATTATATTCTTCATCATACACAGTTCCCCACAGATACTGAGGCACGGAGAAGATGCTGGTCGTTCAGACCTCTGATTTGACCCAGCATGACTATTTATATGCTTTTATGTTTTTCTGTGCACAAACAGTGCAGTGTAGTGGAGAGACCTGGGGTCACATCTTCTCTTGTCTGGGACATTAAAGAGAGCATACCCTTCGTGCCTGCACTTTTCATTGCTTTTTAATATCAGTTACTCTTTGTATTCAGCAAAAATCAATGCGAAGGATTTAATATAAGTAATTTGTTATTAAAACTACAGGTTGGCAAAGAAATAAAGGTACTCTCCCTTTAGTGCATGTTACATGCCAAAATAGAAAAAGGCAGCTTTCAGAGGGTGCCAAAAGCAGTGACTCAGTCCTCAGGCAGATAGCAATAGCCAACAAAACTTCCATCTCCTGACATAATGCTCCTAAGTCAGAGCAGTTGCATGTTTTTGTCCTGACAGACTGCAGAGCGTGGGGATAGATTTCTGCAAAGAAGATTTTAATCTGAATACCCTGATATGTTTTGCACTTAACTTACTTTATAAATACCTCCTTGCCATTTCACTTAGGTTCCTTAAAAGCCCAATGGTTACCACAGCTTGATGTTTTAATGGAGGTTCTTACCCTTATAGACAGCTCCAGATTTTCTGCTCCCCACATGGTCATGTCAGAATCATAAGCTCCGGTGTTTTGGAAGTAATGCCGATCCATGGCCACCACTGCACCAGCTACCACAGGACTCCTGTGTAAAAAGCAGTTTGAAAGTGAACACCTTGAGTTTTGGATAAGGAATTATTGTGAAGCGTGAAAATCCCACCATTTCCATAGAGATGGTATTAAAAAAAATTGAATACTGCTCTGCATAAGCTTGAATGAATTGATTATCTAATCAAAGAAAGAACAACTGGAGTCTAATTCTAGGATTTGCTTGGGGAAGGAAGTCAAGAGCTGAATAAGGCTCAGAACAATGGGAAATGTGGAATACATGTACATCCAAAAAAAAAAAAACCACAACAGATAATGATTAAGATATCTCTTTTAACTCTTTATGACCCACTCTTGCTTTCCCTACAAATCTCCACACCTTGTCTGGTCAGGCTGTGCACCCGTTGTGGGAATGTGTGGAAAATACTGGTCAGGTTGAAAGAATGACTGCGATCTAGTTGGAATAATTATTGAGGGCCAAAACAAACAGTGTCAACAAAAACCCCTTTCCCTTCAAAAATATTAACCGAGGATATGCAAGTAACCACTTCTCTCCTGTGAGCTGGAAGATGACTCAAACTGTACAGTTTGCTGCTGAGGTGAGTGGAGGCACATTGTCTGATGGACTGTTACCTGATAGGGCTGATGGGAGACTGTCGTACCTTCTCTTCATGCTCTGGCACCGGTTCCCAATGAAAATCTAATTTCCAATCAAAAACACCTCGATGCAGGCCCACAGAGTGATAGTACTGAAAAGTCTTCCAGTCTATGACGTCTATGACAGGGGAGATGACACTGTTTCTGAAAAAAGACAGTACCATTTATTTCCCAAACCAAAGCATAAATTAAGTTCACTACTCCGTTAGCAAACATTAGTTCTTCTCTTTGACACTGTCGAGCATAAGCATTCCTCTAAATGTTGAGTGCTCTTATTTTCCCTGCTGATAGAAGCTCAGGTGCTCAGGGCATGGGAATACTGAGCATGTAGTGAAGAATCTAAAGATCAATAATTTATTGATGCCCCCTGTACCTTGCATTGTCATTTAAAGGTATTCAGGATTTTGCTATGAATTAACTATCACAATTCTTATAAAGCTATTTCACACAGAGCCCCCAGCCTCTGATGTTACAGGCTCTTCGTGGATGCAAAATTTATAACAAAAGATGATTTTGGCCTCACACATTTTACCATCTTTTGATTTTTCTGTAACTGTTCCACACACTTCCCATACACTCTACACACAAAGTGAAGTTTGTCACTTCAGGCCAGTGAAGAGTACACTTATCTTTAGTTTGTTCTACTGGTTGTTTTGCAAAACATCAATTACTGAGTATATAAGCCAGTTTCTGTTTGTATTTTATCACAGTCTTAAAATGCTCATGCAAATGCACTGTCGCAGTGTGGAATCTACTTTTAAGAGCCAGAACACAGCCATTACACCATAAGTGGGAATCCTTCAATTCATTGCTAACTTGAGTTAAATTTGGATTAGTCTGAGAAGACGCATTAGACATTTCCCCACGGCAAACAAGTCAGTATTTTGCAGCATGCTTGCACATCATCTTGGAATTAACTGGTAGTTAGAAGAGCCTTCGGTGTTCCTTGTTTCCAGGCCAATGACATATCATATTTGAAAATTGTCAGAGTTTAAGGGCAATGGTGTTCGGGACTGCAGGAAAAAGTGTTGAAGAACAACATTATCTATTTCTTCTCTGTTATGCAAAAAGGATAGTCTCTGGTCTCAGACTAAGGGCTTAACTATAGTTCCTCTGGAGAAAAAACAGTAATATTTAAGAGGGATTAAAGTATGCTGGAAAAAATTACTCTTGTTCTGGAATAGGAATGTCCATATAGGAAATTATTCTCAAGTAGTTATTTCTCTAGAAAATAACTTCTGTTAGAGAGAGAGAAAAATGAAATGGTTAATTTGGGGGCAAAAAGTAGGTGTTTCTAATCTCCTCTTTTAAAAATTTGTATGTTGGTCAGAAATTGCTTGAGAGAAATTAGCTGAAAACACAATACTATCAATGAAGAAAGGACACCTCAGAAGTCTCCACTGCATTAAGGCAGTGAGTTGCTGTCATCCCTCTGCAGGACTCAAGAGAAAGGGAGAGAAATTATACTAAAAATAATAAAGCTGATATCCTCCCCTGATTCTCTAATTATACCCCTGTGGCACAGTTTTGCATCCAGGACAGGAGAAATCACTTAGTGCTCAAGCCAGCAGGAGCATTTCTACAGATACTTATATACTTAGATATGCTCAGATATATTCTGGATCGGATGATTTCAGACTATCCCACATTCATATTATTTCATCCATTTAAAACCTGTTCTTCTTTTTTGGATCCACCTTAAATTGCTGCCACTATAAAACTCCAAACTCCAATGATGCTTCTGGTATCAGTGCAATTGCTCACAAAAGTAAGTACCACAGTAGTAGTTCTTGTAACTGGGCATTGATTTTTCAATGCTGTTCAAGAAAAATACCTGTAATGATGTAACAGATTCTAATGGTTTGGAGACCGAACAATTATCCAAACTATCTGTGAAGTACGATGTGGAAAATTACAGTGTTTAAGACAGCTGAAAATAACTCACTGAATAGGTCACATTCTACATTCTACCCTGGATAAATTCAACAGTAAACCAGAACAAAATAAAATCCAATCTCCTTTCCCGTACAGTTGTATGCAAACTGTATTTTAGAGCTACTAATCTAGTAGCACTAGATACTAATCTAGTAGCACTCTTTCAGAATGCCAAGATTAACATTTTTCAATACTACATTTGTAAGAGTAATTCTAGATCTTCACCTAGTATAAACTGGTATTGCTCTGCTGAAACTAATAGAAACACACCTTCTTAAAACCAAAAATTGGGAGGATCTTTCTGATCTGAAACAGAGGAATCCAGAAATTTTATCTTATGTGAAAAGTGGGTAATGTTCAATTTTAATCTTAATCAAGCACTGTTTACCTAGTTTTTGGTTGGTATTAATTCTTCTTTAAAAAAAAAAATCTGCTTTTGCATATTCGGAGATGGTGGTTCTAAATGCAAATTTGCAGGAGAAGGTAATTGAGAGTTGGAAGATGTTCTTAGCTATTCTTCTTGGTTTTAACTGCATAACTGGCAGACAGCAGCTTCTCAGCACTTTGAAATGAAACACTGGCAAACTACTGCTAATTTTACTCTGTGGAATCCAAGGAAAGGCAAAAACAGGAAATTCAAATACAACTAGCAGCAATGCTTTGAACCATTTGATGAATCTGTGAATATTTCAAATGCTTGGAACACACATGAACTACAAAAGGTCACAATTCCATGAAAAAGACCAACCCAAACAAGAACAGTTTCCTGGTTTGGGATTTGTCAACCAAATACAATTGGTAATGAAATGTCTTCCCATGACCCTTGACAGTCACCATGGACATTATGTTCTTTTCTATTTTTAGATTAGGAAACAGGAGGAGAGGAAGATTTAATTAACATATCTATTTTGAAGTTTTAGATACACTTTCTTTGAAAGCGTTTTTTATTAACTTATGCTTTCTTTGTATTTTGTGTATCTGGGTGGGAAAGAAACATTTTAATCTGTTGAAATCCCCCCTTAAGTAAGGAGGAACAAAAAATCCCCCAAAGGAAACAGAAAGACCATGTATTTTCCTCAACCAGTTTCAGAGTGGATTACTCTTGAAAAAATTAGATATCTAGGAAATCCAGGCAGTCCAAGTTCTCTGTCTCTGCACATAGTTTAAACTTCAGTGAGTAGCTGAGGACCCAAGCTGGTTTCACAGCATGCTGCATTTTCATTTAAACACCTTCCTGGCCAACTGAAGTCTTAGTAATGCAAAACATTTGAAAGTAGATAAGGTTATTAACATGATAAAATGCAGTGATCAGGAATGGCGAAGCTAATTAAGAAGTACTTAAATACTGCCCTACAGACCAACTCCAGACTAACTCAGGGCACATGAACAGTCTCCTTGAATGGAGGGACTATTAATATGCTACTCACTAAACAAATCTCGGCTAGCTAGAGTGCAAAGGGAATGCTTCATTAAAAAGTAACAATTTTTGAAGCTGTCTTTTCTGCTAAAATATTCAAATTTGTACGTGGGATAACAAAATCTGTAGGGGTAACCAACACATTTTCACATTGGACAGTGAGGGTGCTGTTCCATGAATTGTGCCTAAATCCTCATTGCTCCTGTGTTAAGCAGTAATATTTGCTTTTGGGTTTAGATTCTTGTCTTCAGTTTCTTTATCTCAGCTTCTTTAAAATAGGTCACCTTTTGATCCTGATTAACTGTGAAAGACTGTAAAGAGATAACGCATCTTCCCATAACATACCATGTAAATGCAGATCTTTTACTGAATTTGAAATGAGTGTTATTGACAAATAGAGGATATAAAAGGATCAAGCAAGCACAGAAATCCCAGGAAACAGTCTGTTATATGTGAAGGATATGGAAGGTTTTCAATACAAGGAGAGTAGCATGGACTTGCATGCTCAGATGCTGGGGCTGTATGGGCTCTGAATGCATAACATCATGCTTGCAAGTGAGAGGTCAGAAAACAGATGGCTTATATATTTTTTAGCTCAAAAAGCTGGGATATGGGCCACTGGAAAGTCAGGAGTCAGATGAAAAGAGATGAAGGAGCTTTTCATTGTTGGTGCAAAATATTTCCCTCCTCTCTAATATATTACCACAAAATCAAAACCAGACAGAAATTTTCTGGACAGAAGAGCTCTATTTTATGTTCCTGTATCTGCAAGCTGAGGCTCCCATTTACTCCTCAATGGGAGCAGACAGATGATGAAGTACCTTTCCACTGCTGAAGTACCTTTCCGCTGCTGTGCTAATTTCTAATTCTATTTATCAGCATTTTCATTAAAGATTAGTGACCTAGAATCATAGTGCTAAGTAGAATTTTAAAACTAGATAAGCTTTTTAAATAATGTTACAGGCTTCTGTTTTCAAGCATGATACTTGAACTGTGGTATAGGCACAGAGGGAAACACCCTTACAATGAGGAGTGGGAGAAAGGTCCTGAGGGCCAGCTACCCCTTTGCAAGCCACAGCTATGGTGCCCAGACCTTATTTAGATGTGGAATTCCCTGTCAAGGACATAATCAGGGTTCATTTTGCTTTCATGCAGTATTCTCAGGAAACACTCTTTGGATCTTTTTTCTTTATTTTAAATCATCCTGCTTCAGCATAATGGCCACTGGTTTTAGATTAAGGGGACAACAGTTTCAAGGCTTCATGGTACAGTCCATCATATGCTCCCTTTGCCTTTCACTGCCTTTGGACAGAATACAAAATAGCAGCTGTCTTCCGCAGTCTCCTGGAAAAGGCAAACCCTTCAAAAGACGACTCTAATAATGGCACAGCTGCATTGCTATGCACCATATTACTCACCTGGAATTAGCTTGGAACAAAAACTGTTGTCAAATGAAATGGTCTGTGGGGCATCTGCTCTAGTTTTCTAATATTGCCCAGGTACCTACAATATTCATCCTTGAATAATCAAAATGTCAAGGAATGCTTTACAAACCGTTGAACCATTCTCTAGGCAATATGCTAAACTGATGCACAGCTTCCCAGTCAATTTGTTAGGTATGGTTCACAGAACTAATCCCAATCAAGGTGCCCATAAATGCACGTTCAATGATTTTAGAAAGACTTAATATACTTTTGCAGGAATATAAATTTGATTGTGTTAGTGAATTAAGCCATCATGTAGGGAGATGAAATATCATCACCCAGAGCAAGTCAAATATCTGTCAAATATTTCCATACCTGTAAAACTGGAATATTTTTCTTGTACTTGTCCTATCTGGCATTTCCACAGGCTACTAAATACTGGGAGTAACTCCCTTGTTGTGAGCATGTTCAACTCACAGTGAGGTCTCAGTTTGGGTAAGGATCTCAGCGTGATCAGGAATGGCGAAGCTATTAAAGAAGTACTTAAATACTGCCCTACAGACCAACTCCAGACTAACTCAGGGCACTCTAAGACAAGTCACAGTAACAGTGGTAGATCTGGAGCCTAAAAAATTAGGCTTAATCACAATTTTCAAAGTTGAAACTTCCATCCAGATCCTTTAAGCTCCCACAAAGGTTTGAGCTTTGGAAAGGCTGCATTTTTCCTTGCCAGCAAAAAACTCACTCACTCTAGATAAGTAATTTCCCATCCTGACTCTCCAGCAAAAGTGCATGAGTTACAGCTTGAGTGGTACATTAAGAAGAGGAAAGATGGATATTTCACCAGTCACTGTAAGTTTTTTTTCACTGTACTTTCCTCATTTGGGTAGTCTCAGGGAATGCACATGATTCAATTTAACAGCTCCTCAACTGCTAAATGAAGCCAAGTTGACTATGCTTTACATTTCCATGGTGATCCCCATGCAGGCAATTACAAGCAATTTACAAAAAATCATGAATTAACTTCCTTATCAGGTCAGTGTTATTATCACCATTCTTCAGCTGGAGAAAGAGGAACAGCATTAGAAAGTGACTGTCAGATGCCTTAGAGCTTGTCTTTCCTTTGCAGTGGAGAATGTCACAGGTTCTCCACACTAGCAGTGACAAAGCTTCCAGGGTCAGGCACAGTGACTGATAGGGCATACAGAAAGGGATGGCGTAGCCCATGCTATTATCCAAACACTCTTCCACCTTTGCTTCATTAATCCAATTAAACATTAGCTAACTCAGGGTTAAATTCTGCTCTCCTGGAGAAGTGAATGATCATACGATCCCTGTAGAGGAAGAGAACTCCTTTCTCACTCCCTGGTGACAGGGCTACAGAATCTTGGAACAATAGTAGATTTGGTGGCTTTGCATTCCCTCAACAGAGATAATTTTTGACAGGGAATTTTTGGCACTTGTGGTGGGGTCTTGACTTCTCTCTTGCCGTTGTAATTCTCCCTTCACTATAGCTCTCCTCCAAGATTTTTGTAACTCTTTATTTCAGCAATACACCCTTGAATAAGGAGTGGCTAACACACAGGGGTTTTGCATGAGCATCAAAAATAGACTATAGCTCAAGGCAGAAGAATCATGAAGTTTATTCATTATAAATTATCTAATTAGTCAGCAAACAAAAAATAATCTGCTTTTCCAAGGAGGAATCTTTTCAAAAAGAATATTCCTGTCATCCTAGGGCAGCATTACTCTTGCTTTCAGTATTCTTAATGTTTTCATTCAAATGATGTAATAATTTCTAAAAACTCACATTAATTCTCTTATAAGCAAACATAGTGACTGGAAACAGCCTTTGAAGGTCTTTTGTGTGACTATTTAATGGTCTGGTAAGAGTTTTAAGGACTTTTTTTTTGATTTTACCTCCTCTAGCAAGTAATTTTTTCTCAAGTGGCTTATGGGTAATGATAGACAAGTTAATGCACAAATTTTTCTTTCAGAAAAGTCCCTTTAATAAAGGATTTACTGACATGTAATTCTAGAAACATTTGCAGTGGTTTTAATCTCTTTGAAGGACTTGTGGACTGCATAAATGAGCTCAGCTGCACACTAGAGAGCAGGCCCAAGCACCACCCTAAACATGAAAGGCTCAGAAATATGACTCTCTACCTTACTCTGTCAATTTAGTGTCAGTGAAAGTACCTGTGATTAGCTGGAACTGTCTATGCTGCCCAGGAAGTCTGGGTTTTTTTCTGCTGAAGAGAAATGGTACAGGTGACGTTGGTACATAGCCAAATTGGCTCAGGAGCACAAAGAATTTTATTCTTGGCTTTATCACTGAGACAGCTAAAAAGTAAAAATAATGGAGTCGCATCGTAATTTCTCTGGTGGATGTTTGCCCATTTGCAAAGAAGTTTGAGACTGCAACCTTTTTATTTCAGACCTCCAGGAAGCCTTCTTATAGCTCTAACTGGATACAAAGGGTGAAATTTCAGTGACACTGGGCGTGAAGTGAGGGTTAACAGCTGTGTGACCTGTCCTGCTTCCCACATATCAGAGCGATGCATGTGGTGATAAGGTAGAAAATAAAAGCAATGCCACCAGAAGCAAGAAGGTAACCAAGGGAGCACAAAAAAAGCTACCCAACGCTTTCCAAGTACGTTTCTTTCAGCAGCAATGAGCATATACAGGGAGCTCAGAGGCCACGGGGTTATTTACCGGTTGCTGGCCAGCCTGGCCAGGAGGGGCTCCAGCCAGCCCTTCTGACACTCGCAGTGCGAATCCATGAAGATGAGCACGTCGCCGGTTGCCCGTGCAGCTCCGAGCATCCGACCCCGGATGACTCCAAGCCTCTTGTTGCTCCGGATGAGCTTCACACCATCCAGCTTAGAGATGTATTCACTCAGAGCTGACTTCAGGGGCCCTGTCAGAAACACAACAGTCGCTGAAATGTTTTAGCTTTGATTCAAGATTTATTAAAGAAAAGCAACAGGTACTAAGAGATGCTACTTATTGCTGGTAAAATGTTTTGGGGTCATTAGTTTTAAATGGCAAAGTAGGCCAAGTTCCAAATATTTCCACAGCAACATAATGTCAAAGGGAAGAAGAGACTAATGGAAAATGAGAATCACTAGGTGTGAAACTATTCCCATGAGAAGCTTAATAGCCTCCTCTTTTCAGCAAAAGGTGGATACTCTCATCATCTCAAAAAAATACACAGATCACAGTGACATACTACAGGTGTTTGGCTTTCCCAAGCACTTTGAATTACTTTAGCATTGTGGAGTTTTCCATTCCACGTTTCAGCTAAAATCCAAGTCTGGAAATTATGGTAGCAGATCTGGTCCAGTGGGAAAGCTAAGATTTGCATACTGTGATCTTATTTTAAAGTAAGAAATTTCAGAGTGGTTGTAAATGATGGGGGGGGGGGAAGAAACATATTTCAAAGTTGAAAGTCTAACTGAATTCTAAGGATGGAAGAGTGAGCTCTGGGCTCTGCTTAGCTCTCTTTCTGAGGGTCCTTGTTGCCTTCGACTCTGCTCATGCACTTCTTGGAGGAGGACAGTTTCTTCCCCGAAGCTTTGGAAAAAAGAGAGAAATTTCACATACAGAGAAATGGGGGCTACCTTGCTGGCTGAGGTCATCAACCAGGATGATATCCTTGAGGGAGGCCTTTGGGGCTGTGTCCATAATGCTGTGCACGGTTCTCAGCAGAGTAGACCAGGCTTCGTCATGGAAACAGATGATGACACTTGCAGTAGGCAGACTGGACTCATACTTTTGCTGTAGGCACCTGCGGGATCAAATGAAGAAGACACTGGAAACACTGGTACAACTGGCTACTTTTTTTCTCAGAGCAAAGTTGTCAGCAACTCTTAACTCTTCAGGAATGGAAAGCACTTTAAGATCTCAGCTTAGTTCTAAGAAAAGGAAGTATTAATGTGTCCAGCACTGGAATACAAAGTAAAAATATGGGAATGACACTATAAAAATTAAAATACAAAAAGAGGAAAGTTTTTCTGTGTTCTGGGATAGTTTGTTTTCTGCTCTGGCTGCCTCAAAAAACAGAGCTCAAAATAGAAATGGTCCAGGGAGCAAAGAAAAACCATAAAGACAATTAGACAGAGCTGAGAGGGGTATAAAGCAAATCAGTCAGCCTCTACCAATTTCCACATTTTCTCAAGTAACAGAGAAAAGAGCAAACTGAAATGCAGTACCTTTAAAACTAACAACAAAGCAGTAGACCTATGGACTACCTGACCAAGATCCTAGTGAATGAACCCAACATCTCACTCCTCTACAGGAAAGAAATAGATCCCTACACGGACCATGAATACAAATACAGATATATTTAAGAAAGTAAATGTGTTTTCACTATAAATTTTGTAAAGCTTGCTTTTTCCAATGAAAATGAGTCACTGATGAATGAGGCTGACAGCCGGGCAGATTCTCTCTATACCATTTTCTGCTATTACTTTACAACTCCAGGTACTAGTACAACCTACTACAAGACACCTGGCTATGTGGGTCAGTGTATGGCATTCCTAGAGATGCTCCAGAGTGCAGCTGGAACCCATGCTCCTCAGTTTTCCATTGGGGCAAGCTTTCACCCATTACATTGAAACAACTTCCATCAAAATTACCATGAATTAGATGCTGCTTGGACAACTCAAGCATTTAAAGACGAAAAACACTTTCTGCTCATCCTCACAGAAACTGAACATGAAAACCATAAACCCTCCTGAAACAACGGCTGTTTCATAACTGTAAGCAAAGGACCTACAAATTGCATTCACGACAAAAGAGTACCAGTCCTAGTTCAGAGACACAGGACACGCTATCCGGGCATGAAGATGCACATTTTCCAGAAAATGCCTTCCAATGCCCCTCGCAGAAATGCAAAGACCGTCTGTATATCTGCTTTGCCTACAACAGAATGCACATTTTTAAATACTCTCATTTCCCGAGTAACAGTCATTCAGCGCCCTAATGTTCAAATCTGAAACTTAGCTATCAGCAGGAGAGCTGATAGGATTAAGCAGAAAGCCATGGACGGTGGGAGCTGGGGGAAGCTCTTTGCTTTAAGAGCCAAAAGCCTCCTCACAAGACCCATTAATATTTAGCTATGTTTGATTGTCCTGTCTCCTTCAGCAAGATATGAAAGACTTTGTGGTGATGTTGTCAGACGATGTAGAAACCCTTTTCTTCTCTACCCCCACATGGTTCCTCGCTACAGGAGAATATTATCCACTTTTGTAATTGTAACAAAGAATTGTGTAATCATCTAGTTAGCATAATCCATCCCCTAGTTAGCATAACCCACCCTCTTCATTAACATATCCCTCCCACTGGGCCCTTATATTGCAAGTCGTGCATTCAATGAAGATTTCGGCCTGTATCCTCAAAACTGGGATCGATTAGTTTTTGACATTCGCACAGTTATTTATTACATTAGGGATTGTTTACATCAGGGGGACTGTTTACATTAGGGATTGTTTACATTAGGGGGATTGTTTACATTAGGGATTTTTTATAACTGTACGTGAATACATAACCTAAGTGGCAAGTGCTTAGTTGCCATGGAGATTGGCAAAGACTTTCAATATAGATATCTAATCTTTGGAAAAATTCAAAAGGGTACTGGTATTCAGAAATACCTTCCCTGTAATTTGGAGCAGTTTCACAGACTGTCCATCAAAAATTGGCATTTCAAAAAATCAGGGCTGTGACTGATATGAGACATAGTGATTTAATCCAATTTGTGAAAAACAAGGAACTGTCACATGCAGCAATGAAGAGAGAGCAGTTCTGACACAGCAAAGGCATAGACTCCCACTCACCTTCAGAAAAATGTCTCATTAAGATTCGGCTCCCAACAGCACTCTGGTGGAAGCTATACTATTGTAATGAAACTTAAAACCTTTGTAGATACATTGTGAGTTTCTTTTGCCTGGATACGTTTGACACTCAAGCCCAAGAGATCTTTTTGGGCAGAACCCCCATCATAAAAGTCACAATGGCAGGCTTGATTGGGGTGTCCCAGGAGGGTGTCAATTGCAGCTGGACCGACTGATAGCAGGGTTGGAAGAGATGGAAGTACCTCAGAGGGTGGGCCTCTTCTGGTGTGAAGAATTTCCCATCCAATTTCAAGTAAAATGAGAGAGACTTAGTCCGTAGCACTAACTCATCCGAAACATCTCTGGTTGGCTTCCCTCTAACTAAATAACAACAGACATTATTATGAACAACACTACTAAAATAGATTAGAGACATAGACAGTCTGATTCTGGTTTGCTCTCGTTTTACACTGCTGTAAAACTGGACTGACATAGTTGTGATCCAGGCCCCCAGACTAAACTATGCCTAAAAAATACCATTGGGGTTTGTGTGCTGTGCCATAAAGGACAGGACTGGCATAGAGATATACCTCTGCTGCAGGTTTATGGTCTGGATTTAGGTCAGCCTCAGATGCTGAGATCTGGGTTTTCAGTCAGGGCTCTGTAAGCTGTGGTCTTGAGAGCTCTTTAGGCTGTAATTAGTCAGACAGCAAAATCCATCCAAGAGCTCTGAGACCATGGCTTAAATCTTCCTGAGATTAGTATTAACTAGACCTATCTCATGTTGGATGGCCCCTTAGCTGCCAAAATAAAACTGGTTTTTGGCTCACATCACAGGCAGTAAACCAGGGTCATCATTCCTCCATTGAACATTACATAGTTCAAAGAGTTGCCAGTGAAACATGCCAAAAAATAACTGAAATGATATCTGCATCTCATTATTTAATGGAATTATCCAAATTTACACTGAACCTAGTCATCAAGTATAGAAAACACTGTTTCATTTCTCTTTCTTTGAGACTGTCCCCTAAATTAGAGCTGCCAGCTGCCTTTAAACACATGAAAATGAACACTAGAAAGCAAAATTATTCCATGTCTTGCTTAAAATGTTTTCTGTTGTATCTTTCCACTCTTTCCTGGAGGAAAGCTATGATAGGTTTCATTGCAGAAGGAAAGAAATAAAGATACCCACCCACATCCTTTCCTTCTTCCTTGGGCAGGGAAGCATATCAATTAGGTTGAAAAAAATCTCTGAGGTCATCAAGTCCAAGCTTTGACTGATCATCACCTTGTCAATGAGACCATGGCACTGAGTACCATGTCCAGTCTTAAATGTGACTCCACCACCTCCCTGAGCAGTTCATTACAATGTCTTATCACCCTTTCTGTGAAGAAATTCCCCCTAATGTCCAACCTGAGCCTCCCCTGGGGCAGCTTGATAATAAATACACCTCAGATCCTTCATAAGAAGTGTGATGAGCTGCCCCTCCTGGGCTGCTGGGGCAACTGACTTAAAAGTCTCCAGGCTCCAAATGTAATGCAGTAGCCTCACATTCACTTACGGTGGTGCTGGCAGCTCTGGTCAGACACACTGAACTCCACTTTCCTTCCTCCCAGGAGTTTCCTTTCAATATTTGTCACAGAATATTCTGAGTTGGAAGGGACCCAAAAAGAGTCCAATTGGTGATCCTGCACAGAACCATCCCCAAGAGTCACACCATGTGCCTGAGAGCATCATCCAAACGCTTCTTGAACTCCGTCAGGCTTCACCCTCTGGGTGAAGAACGTTTTTCCAATATCCAACCTAAACCTCCCCTGACACAACTTCAGACCATTCCCCTGAGTTCTGTCACTGGTGACCACAGAGAAGAGATCAGTGCCTGCCACTCCTCTTCCCCTCACGAGGAAGTTGTAACTGCAATGAGGTCTCCCCTCAGTCTCCTCCAGGCTGAACAGACCAAGTGACTTCAGCTACTCCCAGTAAAGCTTCTGCCCCGGGCCCTTCCTCATCTTCGTGTCCCTTCTTTGGACGCTAATACCTCAATGTCTTTTTCATATTGTGGTGCACAAAACCGCACACAGTATGCAAAGCGAGGCTGCATCAGCTCAGGGTCTGGTTCATTTTTATAGGTGACCACTGGGTCACTCTTATTCTAAGAGAGCTGAAAGCCCCAACTCGCGACTGCTTTATCACTTTGCAAGCCCGTAGCCCATCACAGCGCAGGCACGTGGGCTGAACCCGGGGCCTGGCCGAGGAGGGCAGCCGCCTTTCCCGCTCGGCAGCCTGGCGCGGATTCCCTTTCTGGCCCCAGCAGACGGACAGACGGACGGACGGACGGACGGACGGACAGACACCCGCGGGGGCGCCCGGAGCGCTCCCTGCCCTGTCGCCCGCCCGCACCTGCGGAGGGTGCCGGGAGGGGGCGCTGCCGCCCGCTCGCCCCAAGGGCCCCGCGGGGCCGGGGGAGGCGGCGCAGCGGAGCGCACACAGACACGCGTGGGCTCTGCTGGGGCCGGGGCGCTCGGCTGCGCTTCGCTTTCTGACCAAGGAAGCCGTAGCTGCGGCCCCCCCCAACCCCGCGCACCTCTCCACCTTTGCGGCCCGTCGGCTCCCGAGGGCTTGAACCACCTCCGGAGCGAGGCTGGGAGCTCCCCTGGCTCCGGGGAACGGGGGGTGTTCCACACACGGCGCGGGGAAAAGCGCTCTCCCGACCCGGAGCGGCGGGTTTGATAGGAAAGACGCGGGGTTTGGAGGAGGAGAGGTGGCGGGCGGAGGAGGGGGAGAAGGGGAGGGCGCGGCGGCGGGGAACGAGACAAGTTTTCCCCCGAAGTGAAATAGGGTGTTTTACTTACAACGGGTGTCGTACCTCAGGCAGGTCCCTGCGCAGCGCGATCCGCTCGCTGAGCACCTCGTTAAAGCCGTGGGTCTCCAGGCCGGGCGGCCGCTCCCCCGGGGCAGCCCCTTCCCCAGCCTGCAGGGGAAGGGACAGCGGCAGCGACTCGGGGTCCCCCTCCGACCGCCTGCTCTGCTGCTTCACGACGCGATAGCCCTTCCTGGCCTTGCTGTGGTTCCTTTTGCCGGTGGGCGACACGACGGCCACGATCAGCTCGTCCTCCCGCAGGGAGATGAAAGGCGACAGACCATCCAAAGGGTAATACTGCTGGCTCTCCTCCTGGGTCTCCAGCATCTCTTGGGTCTCCGCAAAGTCCATCTGATACCCTTCCCGGGGGTTGAACTCCACAGGCTGGAAAGTCCCTTCCTTGCTCTGATTGCTGGGTGGTGGATTCAGCATTGTAACCATCAGTAGCAAAAAACCCAGCATCAGAAACAACAAAAGAAACTGCAGCTTACGTGATCCATATCTGCACTTCTTCTTCAGGAACATACTGTTGGTGACAAAACAGTACAGATGGTCATGTTAAATATCACTTCAGTCTTCCTCAGATTCCAGTCCTCAGGTTGCACAGAAGCTCTGGTTTTCACTATCTGCCAAGAGGATTTTTTTGCTCCCCTCACATTTCACTGATGCCATTTCATACTTTCCTCTCTATTTACAGAAAAAAATAACATTCCTATTAATATTTTACTTACTGTAGTAAAACGTAGCATGGATCCAGCGAAATAAAGTAGATCCTTTATTATACAGAGTCCCAGCTTAGTTAGGAAAGCACATGTTTTGCTGATTAAAAGAGTAACTAAAGCCTTGATTTTTTTTTTCCTTTTAAAATTCTAAGTCAAAAGAAATCCCGTTTCTTATAGTTTCCTTCCAGATAGATCCTGCTTCTTCAAAGTTTCCAATTGCTGACTGGATTGAAGCACTGTATCTCTGAAAGCAGATCTGACAGCTCTCCTCCGTTCGGAGGCTTCAACTTAACTGTGATCAACAGATGAGAACTAGTCGGTCCCTGACTTTGTTTCACACATAACTACGGCACTCAGTCAGGAAGCACTTTGCCAGACATAATACAGAGCAACGTGTGTGTCTTTCTCTTGGTCCTAATGCCCTCGCTGTGCTTGTCCTATCAAATCAAAACTTTGCAAAAGCCACAAGAGGTGAAATACAAGAAGCAAAACATTGTATTAGAAAAGAAATCAAGGCATACCATCGATTGCTGTTACTTCTGAGTAGCTATATTAGACTGAGAATGCTCGGAGTAAGAAGCAAGAATTTTATAAACTGAATAAAAGATGTAGTGCACATGTTTTATGTAAGGTTAGATTTATTCATATGATAATGTGTTAGCTGGAGTATATTTCATATCCAATAAATAATTACAGCTGTAGGGATTTTAACACTGACATAAGGGTGCCAAATTATCACCTGGCAGGCTGAAGTTGTCTCCTCATCCATAAATTTGGTATTTGCAGGGCAGGGAGCGCTTTCAGTTTTCATTAGTCCAGGAATAACATGTAGAAAGCCTGAGCTGGAACAACAACCACTGACACTGAGAGAAAGCAACAACTTCTGTGATTAAAAGGGAAGCTCAGTCTCTGAGGTCTGTTTGCTAATATTGCTGGCAAGGGTGCTACTGGGCATGGACTGTGGCATTTTTTGCTATGAGATGGATGCTTGTCCAATGGGAGGAGGGGTGAGAGAGTCCACATGCTTCAACATCACATGCCTTTTGGTCTGGCAGAGATCAGGGATGGATGTAACTCAGGTGTTACCAATCCATTTGATGCTGGGGCATGGCATGGGGTGTTTTGCATATCTTGTAATATTTGGTGAGCAGAAAGCTCCAGCTTCAGGAGGCATGTGATAAACTTGAGAACTTTCACATTCACATGTTTATTTAAAAGTACATTTCTAGACATTATAGCTAGAAGAAAAGTCTGAAGATAAGAATCCAGTATACTCTAAAGGGAACCAAGGATCTGTTCTTTTTTACTTTCTTCCCTGCTACTTACTTCCCTCTAAGATGTTCTGTAAGTTCAGCCTATGGTTCCTGGTAGACAGCTTCCAAAAAGTCAAAATGAGAGGACACCTACTTTCAAATTAAAATGAGTCATAACCTTCAAAACTCATAACCTTAAGATTGCTGGAGGGATATAGTGTCTCACACTTCTGTGTGTACTCCCCTACAGAATGCCTTGAGGTAATGTGACCATTCTGCTGTGTCTTGGCACCTTCCCTTCCTCAGCTGTTCTTTAAAAGATATAACACTGCTTTAATCATATCTTGGTTAGAAGGAAGATTGAAACAATATTTTGATACTTCACCATTTTACGTGTCTCCTTTTTGTAGCTTAAATTCACAGAAAAGTAACATCCCAACCCACCTTCAGCCCTGAGAACATTACTCTTTATCCTATTTTTCATAGAGAAAAAGAAGTGTTGATGGTTTCAATTCAATAGGGAAGCAGCACACATTTGCATTAAAAAAAATCTGAGTTCAAAAGCATTCATTTAAATAACAGCATGTGTCAGCCATAGAAAGACAAAATGAAATGGAAGAGACCTGTCCAGGGCACTCTGGAAAAAGCAGGCACCAGCAACTTGCAAAAGGTTTAGTTCCATGGAGTCCTATTATTGGGCATACAGAATAAAAATAAAATAAAATAAAAATAAAATTGGAAGGAGAAACTGAAGAGTATGTGGAATAAATGGCAGAAAGCATTACTGGCTTTTTTTTTTTTTTTTTTCTTTTTTAACTTTTCTGGGCTACCTAGGTATTTTGAATTAATTGAATTAATATTTTATCCTGAGTAAAATAGCTTAGCCAGATGCTATAACAACTCTGATCAAGATTATTTTAGCCTGCATTAGTAATTGCTGTATAAATTCTGTCCTGCTAAATCCACCTGGATCACTCATGCAGCTAAGTTTCAGCTACAAATGAAAAGACACCCACTTAACAAATTTACAGCAATCTTAGACACTTTTCGGACAGAGCTGATAGGCAGCATTATCAATGAACCATAGGCGTAGGGAATCCAGCCTTTTTATATATCCTGACCATTTCAACAAAGAAGAAATGAACAACTACAGAAGACGTTTGGTCAGTGTAGTCAATTAAATGTGCAAGTATAAAACTCTGGGTGGCACACTTCCAGCAGCCTCTATTCCTTCTTCTGCACAGTGAGCCTTCCTGCACCACCTCCCTTCAACCAGCATGTTTTCCACCCTCATGTCTTAAAACTGTGGTTTTCCATCACCATCATACAAAAGATATTGTCTTTCCAATGAATGAACCCTTAAGTGTCGGAGAGGGAACATCTTTCTTCCGAAATGCATTTGAATAACAGCAGCGCTTTCTTATAACCTCCCTATCTGGACATCAAGAAGACATTATCCATGGCATTTTCTTTCTACCTCTGGTTACTCAAAAGTAGGCCCTTCAGTGGGAAACAGAATGGGTTGCTCCTCCTACCTAGTTCTGGGGGGGTTCCCTCTCCTAGGACCCTTTCCTGGGCATCTTTTGATGGAAGAGGAAGAAGCACTGTGTGTCCCATGCTCTATTGTCAGACCTAGAGCCATTGCCTTCTTCCTGAGGTCCAGACTTCTAAGTGCTGCTTCATGCAAGGAGCCCATGAAGAGGCTGCCCACAAATAGTATTGTTATCCTTGGACTGCTCTTCCACAGCAGACCCTAGAGCTCCTCAGTCAGTGGGAAAGGAACATGTTATAGGTTGTGCCAAACATATCAGCAATTGCTCCAAAAAAGGGCCAACCTGCAGTGCCAATGTTGGCCAGTGCCAATATTGTGTTGACTTTCCTGCTGCTCAACCCAGGCAAGAACTAAAAGACTTATGTTCCTACCTGTCCTGTTCAGTTGTGGAAGGTATAAATATCTTCAGTAAATGGAAGTCAAGCATTATTGACTACTCCATTCTTTAAGAAAATATTCACCAACCTTTACTGTTGCAAATTTTGCTCCTTAATTGTCAAGAACTAGAACATGAAATCAAATCTAGGTCTTATCCTTAATTCAAAAAATATTAGGAAATGTAGTTGCCTTATTTAGAGTAATAAACCCTTCAGTCAATGTGCTGTAGCTGTTTGTACTTACCCTTTCCTCCCTACCTCATTTTGGCTTGCATTTTTGTCCAAACTATTCCCCATCACGTAGTTATTAAATGTTACGTGACGTGTTATGTTATCCGTACATGAAGAAACAACACATATGTTCGATGTGCAGAGCCCATGTTTTACTGCCAGGAATATAACAAAGCAAGAACAAAAAGAAGGCTGGATGGAGGAAAGAGTGTGTGGACAGGCCGTTACTTACTACTTAATAAACATCTTGGATTGATTTACACTCCTATGACAAAAGCAGATGTGCCACTTCCATTCAAAGACTCAACACATAACAGCAGTCACGGTTTTGTAGCTGCATGTATTACATGCCACAGCTCTTTGTGCATTCTAACGATGGCTTTATTTGCGCAGATGTGAAGAAAGTCAATGCATAAAATGAGACCAATTACATGGTGCACGGGATTTGTGGTGTTTTTATAATCAAGTTACTTTCCCCATTCTTCTCATGATACAATAAGAGATATGTATTTTTAGATTGTCAGAAGATGTAATTTATTTGCAGGTGTTGCAGATTTTTTTGTGTGTGCTTGGCATTGTAGCAAATATTGTTCATTCAGTGGCATTTTCTAATAGACACTTAATAATAAATTAGAACAAGGTCTATAGACTTGCTTTTGGAGGCTATAAAACTTGATAAAATCTGTAGATCGCTAGCAGGGTTTTGGTACTAGCATTATGATTTATGTTTCCCAAACTGTCAGTGAAGGAAATACAGCTGAAATTCCCTTTTTGTAAGATTTCCGCATATAAATCGTGTGGCCAATGTAAAATGACACATGGAAGCTGTGGGCCTTTGCACTGCTTTGCAAAAGCAGTTCTGTGGGCATGAAGGTTGGCTGCACTTGATGGAAAGGAGGGGGAATATACATCACAGGAAGGACAGCTTCTGGATCAGGGGTTGGACTCGATGAGCTCAGAGGTCCTTTCCAACCTGGCTGATTCTATGACTCTGTGATTTACTATACCACAGCCTCTGGCTAACTCAGAAGTGATACCTCTCAGGACTTTAGGGGCAGTATTTTGTACTCCACGCCCCAAACCTAGCCTCTGACGCAGGCTTAGACAGCTACCTTCTGTCTGTGAGGGGTGATAATATTGATCGTTATTAACCCACCTAGAAATGATGCATCTGAAGCACTGTGGGCAATACACAGGCCATCACCTGTACAGGCCTCTCTTATTCAACCACTGTTAATATCCTTGAGCTGGACAGGATTTTGTATACCTTCAACACCCAATGCCCCAACCTAAGCTAATCTGAATCCAGCTTTGAACTGGTTGTGACTATTTTGGTGTCAACATCCTTCACTAGAAAATCATCCCGCATTGACTGTAAGATCTAATCCACTATTAGGGATAGCGGGAGAGGTTCTTTCCTGGCTTAATTGCTGTAGCTTTGCAGGCAGAAATGGAAATGAGGTAGTTTATTCTTTCAGAATGGCTGGCCTGGCCTCTTTGGCTTCAAAAGTGAAACAAATGAGGTAAGGGAAATTGATCCCTCATGTAATATTAACAACACCAATAGAGTTACTTCAAGGATAAATTCAGCCCAATGGGTGGAACATCGCAAGAAGGAATTCTCCACAATTGGTCCCCCCTAGGGATCTCTGCCTGTGGAGTTTCATCTATGGCTGGGAATTTACTTTACTTCCACAGAACAAGCCATGAAACCGTTTGCAAACAGAAACCTCTAGAAATCTGAGTGATACTACAGATACCCACAGCAAAGCTTTTTTTCCCCACCAAGTACTCTTTTGCTGGTGGGCAGCTCTAACTTCACATCTACTCTATTTCTTTCTGCATATACAGGCAGTACATAAACAGCATATGTTTCCCAGAAACCCTAAATACAGACAGCATTTAAAAGTCACAATATTCACATGGAGAGTATTTATAGTTAAAATGAGGTTTAGTAAAAAGAAAGAGCTTTAAATGGTTCTGGCGTCTCTCAACACATTTAAGTGCTAAGTGACATGCAGTTACGTAAATGGTCGCTCCTATTTCAATGCAGTGATCATCCACATCACGTAAGGTGGAAATTACCTTTTTTTATTCATCCTAAATAGTTACATATTTGTCTGTAGCAGATATAGTAAATATTTGCTCTTCAATTACCTGCTGAATATTAGGGTTTGGCAGAGAGTATCATGATGGGAGGAAA